CACGGGCCACATGCAAAAGATGCAGAGGTATGTGGACCGTTTGCTGAAACTAAATGTTAACTTTCCTGAGGAGTAGGCAATTGACATCATTTTGCACTCCTTACCTTGTTGTTATGACCAATTTCAAATTACATACCACATGAAAAAGGAGGAAGTTACTCTCAGCAAACTCCAGTGACTTCTGAAGACCACAGAAATTGGTCTTAAAGGTAAGTCGGCTGTTACATCTACTCCTACTCCTATAGCTACCTCTATTTTGGCTATCGAGCAAGGCAAAGGGAAGACGAGGAAGACCCCTTTGAAGGGTACCAAGGGAAAGTCTCTTAAAGGCTCCTCATATGGAACCAAAAGTGGTTCTATCACTCCTTCTACCAACCCCAAAGAGGTTGAATGCTTCTATTGCCATAATAAGGGGCACTGGAAGTGGAACTTCCCAAAGTACTTGCAGGATGTCAAGGATGGGAAAGTAAAACCATCCCATGCAGGTATTTACACTATATTGTCTAACAACTCACCATATTCTAACTCTTGGGTCCTTGATACAGGTTGTGGTATTCACATATGTTCTAATTTGTCGGGCCTAAGAAGAAGTGAGGATGTGGAGCATGGGAAGGTAAACCTAATCATGGGGAATAAGAATGCTTCACCTGTTACCAAGATTGGAGTTTATACTTTATTGCTAAGTAGTAGGTTAAAGTTAGATTTGAATAAATGTGTTTACTCGTCTGAAATGGAGAGAACTATAATTTCTTTTTATTGTTTGTACAAACAAGGGTTTAGCTTTTCTTTTGATAATGAATGTGGTGGTATTAATGCTTTCTTTAATAATGTTCTTTATTTTAAAGCATTACCTTGTGATGGTGCGTATGAAACAGTGTCGAGTAGATAACCTAGGAAATAATGTGTTGTGTATTGATTATTCTACTAGCTTGGATAAAGCATCATTATGGCATTATTGTATTGGTCATGTAAGCAAGAAATGCATAGGCCAACTCCAAAAGGATGAAGTATTGGAGTCATTTGACCTAAAGTTAGATGATAGTTATGAATCTTGTTTGCTTGGGAAAATAACAAAATCACCCTTCACTGGTACTTGTGCAAGGCGTGAGGGTTTGTTGGACCTTATACATACTGATGTATGTGGACCCTTCAAAAGCGCCACAAGAGATGTTAATTGCTATTATGTGACTTTTACTGGTTATTTTAGTAGATATGGTTATATCTACTTAATCAAGCATAAGTCAGAGACTTTTGAAAGGTTTAAAGAGTTTAAACAGGATGTAGAGAATCAATTGGGCAGGAACATTAACATGCTTCGACCCGATCGAGGTGGTGAGTATCTTAGTACAGAGTTCCTCGACTATCTTAAGGAGTGTGGGATTGTCTCACAATTGACACCTCCTAGGACACCACAGTTGAATAGTGTGGCTGAGAGGCATAATCAGACTTTGTTGGACATGGTGATAGCGCTTACAAACTCCCTGAATGGGCTTTCCTTCTTCTCAAAGAGGTAGCCTGAGATTGGAATCACTGTGTAGCCAATCTCTCTAGCAAACTTCAATTCTTCGCTATAGTATACACCTACAAATTCTCCATGATGAGTCAAGCTTCGCTACCAATCTCTTTTTGGGGGTATGCCTTAGAGACTTCCGCCCATATCCTTAATCTAGTCCCTACAAAGAAGCCTTCCAAAACACCTCATGAGATGTGGAGTGGGAAAGTTCCCAATTTGGACCACATCAAGATTTGGGGTTGCGAGGCTTTCGTGAGATGCGAGACTCAAGATAAGCTCGAACCTCAAAGTGAGAGGTGTATTTTCATCAGCTACCCACAGAAATCCTTTGCTTACCTCTTCAACAAACCCAGTGAGAATATGGTCTTTGTGGAAAGAAGAGGGGTCTTGAGAGAGAGAGAGAGAGTTCATAAGCCAATGAAACAGTGGGAGGCAAATTGACCTTGAAGAAATTCAAGAGTGAAGTGATGAAGGACCCTCAAACCCTAGCAATCAACCAGAGGAGGAAACTCCTGTTGATGCGGTTGACGAATCTGTACCTCTAAGGTGTTCCATGAGGGTTAGTAATGCACCTGAGCATTACTATGGTTTCCATATTATTGTGGAAGGTGACACATTTATCAGTGATAGTAAGCTGGTAAATTTGGATGAGCCTAACAGCTTTAAGGAAGCCACGGTAGGCCCGGAGTCTGCTAAATGGAAGGAGGCTATGGACAGCAAGATATAGTCCATGTATGACAATAAAGTTTGGAACTTGGTTGACAATGTACCCGGCCGTAAGACAGTCGAGTGCAAGTGGATCTTCAAGAGGAAGACTGACATGGATGGTAAAGTGCATACTTATAAGGCACGACTAGTTGCGAAGGGTTTTACTCAGACTCAGGGTATTGATTATGATGAAACCTTCTCACCAGTAGCGAAGATAAAGTCTATTAGGGTAATGCTAGCCATTGTTGCATTTAATGATTATAAAATATGGAAAATGGATGTCAAAACCGCTTTCCTTAATGGAAACTTGGTTGAGGATGTTTACATGAGTCAGCCAGAGGGTTTTATCAGTGCGGAGTACCCAAATAGATTGTAAAAGCTTGAGAAATCCATTTTTGGATTGAAACAAGCATCTCGCAGCTGGAATCTTTGTTTCGATAAAAAGGTCAAAGAGTTTGGTTTCTCGAGAAACAAAGATGAGTCCTACGTATATATCAGAACTAGTGGGAGTACAGTTAGCTTTTTGGTATTATATGTGGATGACATACTACTCATAGGAAATGACATCCCAACTCTGCAGGAGGTGAAGTCCTGGCTTGGGAAGTGCTTTGCTATGAAGGACCTTGGAAAAGATGCTTGTATCCTAGGGATAAGGATATTAAGAGAAATGAGTAAAAGACTAATTGGACTTAGTCAGAGTACTTACTTGGATAAGGTGCTGAATAGGTTCAACATGCAAGACTCCAATAAAGGAGATTTACCGATCTAGAGTAACACCAAACTGAGTAAGACTTAGAGTGTGAGTACAGAGGTTGAGATAGCTGAAATGAGTCGAGTATTGTATGCTTCCGTTGTAGGCTCGATCATGTATGTTATGACTTGTACTCACCCTGATGTAGCTTTTTCTTTGATCATGATCAGCAGATATCAGGGGAACCCTGGCAAGGCTCATTGGACTACGGTAAAGAACATTCTCAAGTATCTTCGAAGGACTAAGGACTGGGTCCTTGCATTCGGTGGGAGTGATGACTTGAGAGTCGTTGGGTATAATGATGCTAGCTTCTAGACTGATATGGATAATTTTTGCTCTCATTCAGGCTAGGTCTTTCCCTTAAAAGGAGGAGCAATTACTTGGAAAAGTTCCAAGTAGGAGATAGTAACTGATTCGACTTGTGAATCAGAGTACATAGCAGCGAGTGAAACGGCGAAGGAGGCAATATGGATGAAAAACTTCATTGGACACCTTGGAGTTGTACCAACTATAAAGGAGCCTATGGAAATTTTCTGTGATAATGAAAGTGTAGTTGCCTTAGCAAAGGAACCAAGGGATCACGGGAGATCCAGACACATCGACAAAAAATACCATTACATCAGACATAGGATGGAAGAAGGACTCCTCGTGGAAAATAGGGTATCATCGGATGAGAACCCAGCAGATCCCCTCACGAAGGGACTGAGTGGGTTAAGCATCTACAGCATGCAAGACACATCGGGCTGAAGGATGATATTAGTTTTACAGTAGATAGATATTTCTGAAACCTGTAAAATGTAATCGACATTTGATGATGAATAAAAGTTATTGTTTATTTATGAGTAAAGTATTGCTATCTTTGTCAAGTGTTTACTATTGTTTCAACTTTGCATGTTTTAACTTCCAAAATAATTACTTTATTCAAAATCTCCACAGTCGGTCATATGTTGAAAGTAGATATGAATTAAGACTGACATGAAGTTGGCTTGTAGATGTCTAAGTTGTTGGACATAGCAAGAGTTGCTACGACACTAATGAGTGCTCATAAGTTTTGAGTATTGGATTCAACCTACGTTCACTTGTATCACTTCATGGAATTTATCTCGAGTGATCATGAGACAGTAATATCATATAAATCTTCAAACCTAGAGATATGAGTTGTTGACTATGAGTCGGTTATACGTTGATTGTAAGAAAACGCATTGGTAACTCGATGTTATAAAATGTGCATTTGTGTATAATTCAACAAGTAGTAGAATAAGCATATGAGTCGAAGTTTATTTGTTGCTTCTTGGATTAGAAGCGATATCTGGGCCCCTCGATGATCTTGTTTTGACCAACATATCGGGCCTGGTCAGAACTAAATTGATGTGTTCGATTATGTTCTATATCAAACAAATCGGAAATCGGGAAACAAACTGTTGGACAATAAGTACGACATTGTTCCATGTATTTTTCCGGTTGATATCATGAGAGCAAAGAATTTTATGATCACTTATCTTAAATGGCGTAACATCATTATCTCAGTTTCGAGAGACCTTGAAAGAGCTACGATTGCTAATCGGTTCCTCAAGTCATACTTGCAGTAATAGTTATTAGACTTATCCAAGTAGGAGACTGTTGGATAAGGTGTCTAAGTCCATAAGTATTTATTGTATGTACCTAACCCGGTTTTGGCGTGG